TATATATATATATATATATACATGTATATAGAAAAAAAAAGCAGCTTGGGGTGTAGACCTAGAGTTTCTTCTCTCCAATTATTTTTGACCGATTTTAAGGATTTCTCTTTCAGCAAATCCTTCGCCCCTATTTCAAGGAAGTAACCTCTTGTTTTTTCCTTCTTATTTGCTTTCATGGTTTTTTTGGGTTCTGCCCCATTGATACCTCTTTCCCCCCCATTTCATCTCTGATCAAATCTTGGATCAACTCCTACATTAACTTGGAAAGGCTTATTCTCATCTAATTGTGCTAGATCCAAAATTTTAAATTTATCTAATGTTCCACCTATTAAAGATAAAATCATTTTCTCAGAAAATGAAGTTGAAGGATCTAAGAAGTGGGATCTTGCACTTGTTGGATTTGCTTTAATTAAAGAACATTTTATGGGTAATTACTCCAAGTGATTAGTAAACTTTGGAAACTTAAAGGTTCAGTTGAGGTACTTTCACTCACTATAGGTTTTTCTTGTTTAAGTTTAATTGCTTAGAGGATTTGGAGATGCTTCTCTATGGAGGACCATTGTTTATTAGAGGTATACCTTTTCTTATTAAACGATAGTCTCATGACTTTTGACTACTTAAAGAAGACTTTAAAGATGTGTTTATATGCGTTAAATTCTTGACTTACCCCTCTTTTGCTAATATGAAAATGAAATTTCTAAAATAGCAAGTAAAATTGGCATTCCTCAAGCGTTTGATCCTTTAAGCGAAAAAGACTTACTTATGTTAGAGTTAATATTCAAGTCAATGTTGATTCAATCTTGCCTAATTCCATTGCTATTTGGATAGGGATAAAGAAATTATATTACCTTTTATTTATGAATGGAAACCAATTCCTTGCAAGAACTGTTCTACATTTGGTCATACTCCTTCTTATCTTATGTCTCAATCTAATGCTCGAATTCAATTATAGTCTTAGAGAGTGGAAGAAAATTAATTTAAGGAATGCTACCACTGGTAATGAAAGATACCATAGTAAGTTTGTTAATACTATTAGACATATGAATGTTAAAAATGGGGTTAATATACAAGTTTTTTGCCCTAATTTGAATATACATGTTTCTAATACATCTATTAGTAATGAATCTAATAATAACATTGTTGCTTTACCATCTATTTCTTTTATTGGGGTTAATTTTGATGCTAATAGAAATTCTACTCTTGAGATGGCTATTTATGTGAACAGTGGAACTAATGCTCAATTAAATGTTTCTTCTACTGAAATAATTTTGTTGATTAATGTTAATATTGAGCGAATGTGGTTGTTGCTTCTAATACTGTTGATATTATACTTGTAATAGAAACTATGACTTCTATGTCTGATAATGTTGACATTGCTAAGTCCAATACAAGTGCTGATGATATTATTACTAAAACTAATAAATTTCTGCTTTAGTAAGTACTAATGTTCAGAATGTTACAAATTAATTTGTCCAATTTAAATCATGCTTCTATAACTAATATAAATCATGAAAGAAGTATAACCTTCTTCCTCTTCTCTTGTTTCTTCAAGAGCAAGAAAAGATAAAACTAAATGATTTTTGTTTCTGATTACTTTTTTTTTCTCTTCTAAATGTTTTATCTAAAATTAGCTTCTTGGAATGTTCATAGACTAAAAAATGAAGCTCGTAATATGGATTGTAAGTATCTTTTGAAAGATTGATTTTATTTGTCTTTTGGACAATAAATTATAATAATCAAACTTATCTGATACTAATGTTTTAGGAAAATTTAATCTTTTCTTAGTGAAGAATGTGTTGATAATTTCAATACTTCTGATAATGGTTGAATTTCAATTAAAAATTGAATAACCTGAATTTTTCTATTATTAAAGTTCATCCTCGATTCATTTATGGGTTTATTACTTTTTATTTTATCATTAAGTTTTATGTCACTGTTGTTTATGTGAAAAGTGGTGATTTTAATATAAATGTACTTTGGGATTCTATTATTTCTATATTTGACATTACTTCTAATCCTTAGTTGATATTGCGAAATTTTAATTGTATTATGACTACTAAAATGAAAGTTGGAGATTTTTAGGGTTGGGATGATCAAAGAGTTTTTTTAGCGTCAAGAATTGAGAGGCATCTATCACTGCACATCTTTTAATTTTCTTCTTATTTATATGTTATGGAGTCGATGTGCTCGGGCAGGGGTCTAAAGAATAAACCATAAAACTAGATTTTAGGTTGTAAGTAGGGAGCCTAAGTAGACACTTAGTTGACGAGACAGCTAGTGTGGATTGCATGTTGTTAATAAATTGTAATATGTATGCTGACATGTTGAAGATCTCTTCCTTCAACCTCAAAGAAATTTCACGTCAAGTTTGGTGGTGTAGCCAGGTAGTTGTCGATGAGTTTGGTGGGAAGGTCAAACCAGCTCGTGTAAATTTGGAATAAAAAATCGGGCATATGAGCGAGCTTGATTGGAAGAACTCGCTTGAAGATTGAGGTTGGATGAGCATGTTCTTACAAACTTGCAAGAATGCTTGACATACTTCGGAGATACTCACGGGATCCTTTTGGGTGGCAAAGAGCTTGCAGCTTGTCACTTTCAAATGCATGGCTAACGAGTATGCTTGATATGGTCAGCGCCAAATCATTGAATACACGGCTAATGTGTTCAATCCATTAAGCCCATTAGACGCATTTAGTACTTTGGTTTTCCTATTACATAAAGAAACTCATTTTTGCATATATTGTATAAAAAAAAAATATAACTTTTAAATATCTTTAATAGTTTAAATTAAAGCTCAGAAATTTTATTTATTTTATTTTAATTGTATTTTATTGCATTATTTTCAAATAAGTTCGCTCATGTGCGAACAAATCTTTAATGTGGTTGGCTCAAGTTTGGCCTTTTTTTTATAGGAAGTTTTATTTATTAGCTCATCAAGCTCAGCAACAAGCCATTTATAGGGCCAAGTCTTAGCCAACTCGCGAGTTGATTTAGCTCAATGACACTGCTATCGAACTACCTTATCATGAAAGTGATCCAATGCATTGAGCGGAGTTAGTTCACTATCTGGTGCATAGCCCAATAATCCTATACAATTCCATAAACAAATAAATCAATAAAAAATGTTATACTGGAAGGATAGGCCTATTACTCTCCCTCTCTATTTACTCTTATTTGTACCAATTAGCTAAACAAATAAATTATAATTCCAAAAGAAACCTATACAAATATACGTATCATATCTCCTAAATTTAATTGATGAACGTATAAGCGCCGGACCAAATAATTTTTTTGTCTACTTAAATTTTGAATTTATTATTACTCTTAATTAAAAACTCAATAACCACTAATTACTTCATGCAATTATTGGCACAAAGTCAAAGCATAGCTTCATCATCTTAAGCACTACTCGTCCATAACCTACCGATTCTGTCCCAAGCATAAAAGAAAGAAAGGTTTACATACATAACATCCAATTTCTCTGTATTTATATATTTAACATTTATATATCATCTTGCCGATTGATTAAATATATATGTATATATATATATATCATCTTGACGATTCATTAAAAGATATATTTGACTTTTTCAAATTATACTTTTTTGTTATGATTTAAAAGAATTGGATGGAAAATATATTAAAAGAAATATTTTTATTCATTTTCTTAAGCGGGCATGTAAAAGTGAAAGTGATTACTATTGTTGCTTATCACTGTTTTTATTGTTTCATTCGTGTCATAACAAAATTTTATGATTTTTTATACAAGAAGTATATATTTTTGTCAACCCATTCGGTTAAATCCATTTTATCTTCAAGCAGAATTAGATTTCAATTTTCAATAGATTTTTAAATTTTAAATTAACACAATCCTTCTTCATTAAATTTTTAAATATTACATTTTATTTCAATTAAAAAACTAAAAAAAAATTATAAATCGATTGGAATCACCGTCGTCTCTTCTCTTCCCCTAAAATATTTAAAATCGATTTCAATGATCTAAAGAGGCGAGTTTGGCGTTCTACTGCCCGTCTTAAATAAAAAAAATGTCTTTAAACAACCCAGCTTAATTCCATAGCGATGCCATAGAGATGGCCGGACCTCCTCTGCATCTACTCCTCCTCATCGCCGTCGCTGGCGCGGCGGCGGCGCAGCCCGCCTTACCGCCTAACCCCAGTGGAAGCGGCAGCTCTTCTGGAAACAACGTGCAGGTAACTTTCCGGCCAAGCATCGCCGTCGTGATCGGAATCTTCTCTATCATGTTCTCCTTAACCTTCCTCCTCCTCATGTACGGCAAGTTCTGCCACTCCAGCGGCAACAACCCCTTCACCAACGCCGGCATCATAATCTCCGGTAATGGAAGCCAAGGCGATGATGGCCGGTCTTCCGGTATCGACAAATCGGTGATTGAATCCCTCCCCTTCTTCCAATTCTCCGCTCTCAAAGGTTCCCGTGAAGGTCTTGAATGCTCTGTTTGCCTCTCCAGATTCGACGACGCAGAGATACTTCGCCTGCTTCCGCGCTGCAAGCACGCGTTTCATAAGGACTGTGTCGATCGATGGCTCGAATCTCACTCATCCTGCCCTCTTTGCCGCACTCGAGTTGACGTTGACGACATCGCTTTCTTCAAATACTCCGCCAGTTCGCGTTGCCTCCGCGATACGTCCGCACCAGAAATCGCGGAAGACGGCGCCGATTCAGCCCTCGAGCTTTACATCGAGCGCGAACACGCCTTAGCCGGCGGAGCCATATCGAGAGGGTTGGCCGCCAGCTTCCGCTGGGCAGAAAGGTTGAAATTTGCCGCTTTGGGAAAGCAGGCGGCGCCGCTACACAACTTCAAGCACAGGGTACTCGTGTCTCAAGTCGTGTTCCAGAGCCGGTGGAGCGATTTCAATTCAGCCGATTTGATTAGCCTTGATTCTGAGATGCTGCGGGTGATTTCGAGCAGGAGGTTTGATCCAGCTGTCTCCGGTGTCGGTAGGAGCATTGAAGTGATTTCCCCGGAGTTTCCGGCGGCGGCGGGGGTGTCGAGGATAAAGGAGGAGATGGAAAGAAAGCGGAGATTGGAGAGTAAGGCGGTACGGATGCAAATGCCAGAGGAGTATTCGGCCGAGTTCTCGGCTTTGGAAAGGAGGGCTTTGATATCGCCGGCGAGTAGGTGTATGTCGGATATCACGGCGGTGAGGAGTTCTCGGCCGTCGGGGAACTATGGAGAGAAGGAGGAGAGATTGAGGCAGAAGTGGCTGCCAATTGCGCGGCGGACTGTGCAGTGGTTCGCCGGAAAGGAGGGGAGGAGAACGATGAGGCCGGATGGCGGAGGAGAGGGGGAAGAAAACGTGTAGATGGATGCATAATTTCGTTGAATCTAACGTCATAAAATAGAGGAACACACAAATACAAATCTGGCCAACGTGATTTACGGGATTAGCTGGATATGGTTTGATAGGACAGTATTTGGGCAAATCATTGTAAGTTAATTCACTGATTTTTTTTTTTTTTTCTTGAAAGAAAAGTGGGAGATAGATCTTGTGCAGAAAGTGTTTTACAGATTAAATCACAGAAGATTTCAGTTTCAGATTTATTTCTTTTGGGTTAGCGAAGCAAGAATTTGGAAAGCATGTGAATATGTGCTGCATTAATGGGGACAACTATCTTATTTCAAGGCATGTGGTATGGTAATGTTGAGAAATATTTTATTAAAAGTATTCCTAGAAAATTTTGCAGAGATTTTCGGAAAATAAATTATGACTTTATTATGAATGTTAGTATTTGGGTAGGGGGCTTTATAAATAAAGGAAGGGTTAGATTTTCACGAGCACTCCCAAAAACATTGCTTTATTGCCCTAAGTTGATATTAGTATTTATAGATATTTAACTTCCCTCCATTAACAGTAAAAGATGTGAGGACTTCTATCCAATACAATATTTTTAAAATATTATTGTGAGTTTTTTTCTTGGTTAAAATCTCATTGATTGAAATCTTTTCATATAATTTACAAAATTTTTAAACAAGGCTTTTGTTCCTCTCTCTCTCTCTCACTTGAACACCCATGTTATTTTTAAACAAGGCTTTTGTTCCTTCTCTCTCTCTCTCTCACTTGAACACCCATGTTATTTTTTTCACCTCCCCCTTTTTATTTTCTTTAGCTAGCTCAAATCAGACTTATTAACAAACTCACAAGTCGAGCATGTTGAGTTACGAGCTCAAGCTTAAGTTCAAATTACACATCTTATATTAAAAATATTGTCTCCTAGTTTGGCGAGGCTTGACTTAATAGCTTGATAGCAACTTTGATTAAAAATCCTAAGTCTATATTGTTTTCCTTGCTTTGTTAGTCTAGTTAGGTATGGCAACTACCAATGTCACAAATTTTTTTCTTCTTTAAACACTATTGGATCTTTTATGATGTATCCAATGATTGTCTCATTATGTCGTCTTTGGCATTGTTGTCAAGTTGCCACTCGTCTCATCATTACCTTCTTCAACATGCTCCTAACCTCCAATCACAACCTCTCTATGTAGCCTTCCATAGCTACTTGCTCCAATGAGCTCCCATCACGACTTTTCCTAATGCTAGTATCGCCCTCTTTGACAAGCCCCATTGATGTCATTTTTACTGGCCTCGTTTTTAATGAGGTTAACATATTCTTATTCTTCTTATCAGCCTAAGATCCAATATATAGTATAGGAGCTTTCTCATCGAACCTTTAGCGAACTTCTCTAGTGACAAGGTGAACTAAACCTATACTCAACACCAATCCTTTCTCCCTAGGTTTGAAATAACTTAAGATTGATCATTAATTCATGTTGAGAGAAGTCGGGCAGAACACAATTAGTTCACAAGAACCAGGGAATGAACCAAACAAATCATTTTGAGACTTCATACCAAATCAACCAATTTGAATGAATTGAATTAGTTAAATGTCCCAATGGGCTCGGCATAATTATTGAACCCTAAAGTCATTTAAAATAGACTCAAATTGGGCCAATCAAAGTAGTTAACCCCAACATGTCCTATTAAGGTGATGTTGGGTTAAACATATCTTAAGAAAATAAAATAAAATATAAATAAAATAAAATGAAACATAAATATAAACTAAACTCAATTTAACCAATTAAAGCACGAGATGGAACCTAAATCTTAAATTGGGCTAATGGGCCCACCTCACTTCTCCTAAATTGCCTAAATTGAATTAAAGCATCCCAAAACAAAACTAAGAGAAGCAAAACAAAATTAAATGATTTTTTAAACTAAACTAAACTAATCTTATTTAAATTAAAAATAATGTCAATCAAAGCATAGAGAACTGACTTCACATTTGTCAAGCTACCTACTTAGACATAATTGACTCATTTGAATTATAATAGACTAAATTTAAATATAACCCAAATTGAATCAAATTAATAAAACGTAAAAATTTTAAATCACTAATCAAACATAACTAAAGCCCAATTGAAGACTAAATCAGCTAACATATTCACATAACCCAAATGAATTATATTGGGCCAAAATTAAATTAAATCCAATTTAAATCAATAAGAACATTCTAAAATATATAAAATGATGAATTTAATAAAATTGAATATAAATTAAGCCCAATTGAAACCCAATTTTCTCAATTGGGTCATTTGATCGAAATTTACCAAATTGAACAATGTTGTGCCAAACTCACACTAAATCCAAATTAATTGCTCCTAAAATCTTACATTAATTAGTTAAACCTAACTCAATCCTCTTTGAGGCCTAATTTGGTAGTTGACCTACTTAGCTTATTGAACTCAAATTGACCCAAAAAGTTCATATTGAGGCAAACTAAATGAAGCCTCACCCAAATCCAACCAAACTTGACCAAGTGGCTTATTAGATCCCTACTGGCTTGTCCAAGTGAGCTTGACTCAAATTAAAACTAATTTTTATCCAATCAAGCCACATTTTATTTTCAAACACACCCAAAGTTTTAAAATAGTAAAGTCCAATCTCTCCCTTCTGCCTTGGGTTGTGACCAATCCTCATTTTAAGCTCACCTAAGCAGATCAAAATTACTCACTTAGTTGGGTTGATGGATAGTGACAAAACCATAAAGGGTCAAACTTTGGTTCAACACCCATGCTTGTCCACTTCACTCCATTAGCCCCAACTTTTTGAGCTTTTATGAAAACGACCTAGGTCCAGTCAAAACACAAATTTTGCACTTGAAATTGCCCAAGAAAGCTATCATAGCTAAACAAAGCCATTCTATTCGTTCACATTAGGAGCTCTACAAATGACCTCAATCTTGAATCTTGTGCACCCAAAAGAGCTCACATACCTTCAAATTAGTCCTTAGCCACTACCATACTCTCTCAACCCCTTTAAACCCAATTTCCACCATAACCCCCCATTCCTTTGAAGGAATTTCTCAAAACTCTTTTTTTGTGGACATCAAGTTCAATCAATGCATTGTAAGAGCTCTTGGAGGTCAAAGAAGGGAAATTGAATAAAACAACACAAGCTTGGAGAACCATTTGGTACTGTATTAAATCCATCACACAAAAACACATAACATATGTTTGTGAATTGTTTTTTTTTTTTTAAGTAGGTTAAACCAACCATAAAATATATTAAGATTGAGCTTTCGATCATTTTATGTAACGTACATTCAAGTTTTTTCCTACTTGATTGAGCTTATCTAGCTCGAAATCCATGGATCCATGGTTTTGTCTAGAGGAAGAAGATGAAACATATACTATTAATTTTTGTGATTCAGTTGTACAATAAAACATACAATTGTGGGCCTCCTCTTAAAACAACATGTCTAACCATGTTTGGACATGTGTAAAACTAAAGTGACTAGTTGAGTAATGTGGAAGAGTAAGAAACTGTTCGAGAATGTTACAAATATATGCATTTTAAGAAAGAAAGAAGTCATGAAAAATTGAGATTGCTTCAACTGAGGAAAAAGTTAAGGTTAGTGAGATTTTAAGGAAAAAGTTAAGGTTAGTGAGATTTTGACATTCAATGGAGTTCCCTTGATGCTTAAAGACTAATATAAATTTTTATTGCTTCATCTTCAGAATAAAAGAACCTTTTCAATGTTCTATTTGACATAAAAGGTTTAGGGTTAGATTCAATTAATGTTTAATTAGTGATGTAAAATTCATATATAGGGATTAAATTTTACATTTATGGAGCACATTTAACATTTTCAATAAGAAAAAAATTTGAGGAGTTTGAAAGGAAGATTTTTGCGAGCTCACAATTTTAGCATATATATCATCTCAATAAAGAAAAAATCATGTCCTTCATATGTCTTGCGAAGAGGGACTATACTCATGACTGGTGTGATATTATATAAGACATTGCTTTGAAGGAGTCATGCATGTTACATGGTCAATACGTTGAAGGTGACATGAGTAGCTTTGAAGAGAAGGGTTGCCCCACTAAATTTTAATTATGTAACATTATCATATCATGGAACCACAATTCTTACAAAATTGACAGACTATGTTGATATTGTTGGTTTTTTAAGGTTAATGATCATGGCACATCACTCTGTTATGTAAAGTTTGAATTTGGATTTCTTAAAAAAATGTACAACTTTGTTTAGATTGAAATGAACACTTCAATGTTATTAATACTACTAAGAGAGAGATTGATGTTCCATGGGGTATTTAAGAAAGTTTTCATGTTAAACTAGGTTGTCATGAAGAATATTGAATGAAGTTAGAAATCTCTTAGTAAAGAATGAGATTAACTTCTTGCACTTGAGTACTAACAAGCATTAGTTAATTGACAGGTGTTTTGAGTGATTATTAAAAATAATTTCAGATTGTCACTAAGAGTTTTTAGAGATAATTTCTCATGTGTGCCCCATGACCAATTGATTCCATGCATCGCAGAATGATGAGGAGGAGATATTGTAAGTTGGCAAGTGATTTTTAATAAAAATAATAAAGGCTCCAATTAAATATATTATATGCAATTAATTACATAATAAAACACGACATCATTAATATTATTTATTTTGATGGATCTTGAGCGGAATTTTTCATAAGCATTCCTTGCCCTATGCCAAGAAGTGAGCATGATTCAACACGATTCACATAATAAGATGAGCGACGAACATGCATAATCACGAGGATATCAGGTGTGCGAGGACTCAAATTCTAATTCCACTATGTTTCGTGTTCCAATTTTTGGGAAATATTACATCAGGACTCCTAACGTTGAGCTACGTTCGGATTAAAATATTCAGCTGTGTTACGGGATTATTCCATCTGCGTTATTTGTAAAAATAATGTGTTATTCCAGTATTATATCATGTTATTCGCTTATTTTACGGTGTTATTGGAATATTCTATCGCGTTTACTTTATTTGGGGCAATGTTATTCGGCATATTCCGGTGTTATTTCAATTTTCACTATGTTATTGGAGTAACACTGCCCCAAATCAAGTAATGCAGGCGAATATTCCAATAACACTTCAGCCCCAAATCAAGTAACACAATGAAATATTCCAATAACACCGCAAAATAATCGAATAACACCATATAATACTCGAATAACACATTATTTTTACAAATAACACAGATGGAATATTCCCGTAAAACAACCGAATGTTCCAATCCTAACGTCTACATTAGGAGTCGCGATGTTCTTTT